AGGTGACGGGGGCTGCGAAGGTGGGGAGGCTACAGAGGCGAGGGGGCTGTGGAGGTGCGGAGGGCTGTGGAGGTGAGCGGTGCCCAGAGGCAGGGATGGGGATGCTCTTTGTGGCCTCAGTAGTAGAAGTCACTGAGGGGTCTGGACCAGGGTGCAAACCGTGATTCCTGTGGGAAGACACCCCAAGGGGACCAGCGGTGGTGGGGAGAGCAGTGAGCAGGCTGTTCCAGCGGCCCTGGGGCAGGGCAGCCGAGGGGGTGAGGGGGTGTGAGGGAGGAGTGGAGCTCTTCTCCACGGGGGCAGAGCGGACAGCTGGTCGCCTTTCCCAGCATTCCGTTCAAGGTGGAGGCGAAGTGGTACAGAGGGAGATGCGATGTGGTCCCAGCTCCTCCCCTCCAGGCTGTAGGCCGGAGGCCAGATCACTAAGGCAGGCCCTGGGACGGCACTCCCCAGCGCCCTGCGCAGAGCAGCGCGGACCCACCGGCAGGCACGGGGATCACCACTCTCTTCTTCTGCTTGGCCTGGCCGCTCCCTCTGCAGACCACACACGGGGTTGTGATGATGGAGCCTCGGCCACCACACCTCCGGCAGGTGGAGCGCATCACAAACGGGCCGGTGTTTATGGTTTCCTGACAAACCGAGAAAAAGTGGGAACCTGAGGATGGGGCAGATGCTGTGAATCCGGGGCTGGCCATGCAGGACACGCTTCCTCAGACAGGTGCTGAAACCCACAGATGGCACGGCCACAGGGCGCAAATCGCCGGAGCACACCGATTCCGAATTCTAAGCCCATCACCAGACTGAGCACCTGGAACCAGAAGCTGAGCTGGCTTTAAAAGGTGATTTCCCCTCTACTTACAGAAGCGATCGCTGCACAGGCCTGTGAGGTGAACATGCACACCAATCAAGTATGGGAGACCAGCAGGGCAACTATGTGCAGAGAGACAGCTCAGAGGGCAGGAATGCACAGAAAAGGAGGACACAGGGGTAAGGTAAGCAGAGGGAAGAAGAGGAAAGAGAGTCGTTACATACGGGACTGCAATCAACACGAAACAAAACACACATGAACTGCTGAATGGAAAACAAATGTGCTCTATGAACTTTCACCCAAATCACAACTACCAAAAAAAAAAAAAAAGGAAAAGAAAAGAGCAATCATTGGGAACACAGGCAAATCAAAAGGGGAAAATGACAACCAGACGCCCATCCACCCCCTGCCCCAGGCTGGCGTCTGGTCACAGAGCCAACGCTGCCTGCTCAGAGGGTGGCGAGGCACACGCTGCAGGGCCTGGCTGCGTCCCCCAGTGACCCGCCCCATCACACGTGCCCCAGGAGCAACGAAGCAGCAGTCCTCCTGCTCCTGGCACCCCCCAGCGCCGCAGTCTACCCCTCAACTCTGCCCATCCACTTCCCCTGAGCAACTGGGCGGAGGTGTCCCACCCAGCTGGGCTCCAGAGGTCGGGGCCAGCCTGATAGAGGGGGCTGGGCTGTGGAAAGCAGATGTGAACAAGAAGAGAGGCCACCGTGGGGTAAAATGCACAGGATGTGCGTTCAAATCGACAGGCGAGAACAGAGTGGACAGACTTTCTCCCCAGAGCTCCTCCACCCAGGCCACCCTCCCTTCTTCTCCCCTAGCTTACCACCCCCGCCTCAGGATCTGCCCAGCTCCCAGATCGGCGAGGGTGACACCCTGCAGCTGCCTTACCCTCTCACTCTCACTTGACATCCAGAAAATGATTACCTTTTTATTTAACGTCTTCAATTTTTTTAAAATTATGAAACACATGCTTGCTACGACCAAGGAAAGGATACAGAGATGCGTGAAAAAAATGTTACCGATCTCCCCTTCACCCTGACTCTCAAGACAGTAAAACCTGAGAAAGCCAGAACCTGTGTGAGACAGAAACCTGTCAGAGAGGGAAAACGCAAATATTTTCCACTAAGGGAAAAGTCTAACACTCCACCCGGTCAAAGGAGGAAAACTTGCAAGACCCAGAAAAACATAGCAGTCTGGTGGTCATGGGCCGGCTCTCCTGGATTTCACCATAACCAGCTCTTACTAGTTAATCATTTGAGTTTGTCTTTCCACAACTTTCTCTGTTAAAAAAGGGTTTTTTTTTTTTCTTTAATAAAGATATTATAAAATTATATTATACACACTATTCTGCAACCTGCTTGTCTCTTTATCTTGACGACAAACCACAAACACCCTTCCAGACTGATATAGCACCCACTGCCCTCAGGGAGATTCCAACTCACAGCAGCCCTGGAAACTGAGCAGAACTGCCCCACAGGTTTCTAAGGCTGTCAGTCTTTCCAGAGCAGACTGCCTCACGTTTCTGCCACGGAGCAGCTTTTGGGCTTGAACGACTATCTTTTGGTTAGCAGACAAATGCTTTAACCACCACGCCACCAGAGATCCCTAGGCCAATATACACAGATTAATTTTTTTACTTTAATATTTAACTTATTCTTCAATGCTGAAAAAAAAAAAAATCCCTGCATTTTGACCTTTGGTTCAGATGCCTTTATTTTCGTTAGACTCCCCAAGGGGGAGCCGCTGAGGTAAATTAGTGTTTGTACTGTAAAGTACCGCAATCATAACGATAACCTTTTGGTACAAAGACCAAGCTGCCACAGTTAGAGAGCAGATGGGCCTGCTTGCCTTCTCATTCCACAAATCTTTAAATACATACAGATACACGCACACACACATGTCATAATTACTGAAAAGATAATATGGAACAAAGTACAAACTTCAAGAGTGAAAAGTCAGGTATCCCACTCCCATCTCCCTATTCAGTCAGGTATCTTCTCTAAAGGCCACCAAATCAAAAACCACACCCACTGCCGTGGAGTCAATTCCAACTCACAGCATCCCTGGAGGACAGAGTGAAACTGCCCCAGAGGGTTTCCAGGGCTGTCAATTTTTATTAGAAGCAAAGCCCAAACCAAACCCACTGCCCTGGAGTTGAATTCAACTCACAGGGACTAAAGAACAGAGTTGAACTACGCCATAGGGTTTCCAAGGCTGTGAATCTTTATGGAATCAGACCACCACATCATTCTCCCACCTAGCAGCTGGTGGGTTTGAACCACTGACCTTCCTGTTAGCAGCTCAGCACTTTAACCACTGTGCTGGGACTCCCCAAAGGCTGCCGATACTGTGACAATCCTACATCCTCCTCTGTGCACACCCACGCACTTCAAGCTTCTGTACATGAGAAGGGAAGTGCCCGGCACATGGGGCTCTGCAGTTGCTGTGCTCTTCTATAATCAATAAATCCTCTTGGGAAGCACTTCTTGTCAGTGTGCCATCTTCTGCCACATGCGTAGGCCCCAATTTTTGAGACAACTCACTCCTGAGGCCCCTCAGGCTGTCCCAGTCCCTTCTGCTACACCCACACTGCGGGGGACATTAGTACAGATGGAAACGCTGGGTCACAGGGACATGGATGGGAAGTGTTAGCAGCTACTGCAGGTTCCATGCCCAAAAGACAGGCAGTGCTCACGCCAGTGCCACACGCACACCCCCACTCCCTTGGGCTCAGCCAACACCTCATCTTGCTGCCTGGGGCCTGTCCCTGGCTGTAGGGAAGGAACGCTTGCTGGTTGCCTGCCTCTGCTCTCCTGTCCAGCCTCGACCAGTTTTTCTAACAGGCTGCTTGGTCTTCTGCTCGGAGGGCTACTATGGCAGGAACGCTCACTCTTTACCAACGTGCTACAAACACTTCTTCCCAAACTTTACGTTTTGAGAGAAATACATTTTGTCCTTACTATCTTACCTTAATAATGTTCACTTCAGAAATGTTTGTTTTTTAAAAAAGAAAAAAAACATCACATCCTTTCAGCCACTTCACTTAGGGTCTTGAAAGAGAGAGGGCTGAGAAAAGCAGAGGAAAAGCACCGTACCGAGTGCAGCAGGAACTCGGCTCAGAGCATGGCAGCAGGCACAGCAATCCTCCGCTTCTCCGGGAGCACCCTCTAGCGGAACACAACCTCAACTGCGTTTTCTCAGACCACACTTAAAATGGATCTTTCCGGCAACAGAGTATTCTACAAGTAACTCTGAGGGTCTGTTACGTGCCTGGGACACGATTTTTCAGACAAGTCACTCTTGAAGCCCCTGAAGCCATTCCAGTCCTTTTCTGTTAATACCCACACCACAAGGGACCCACTGTTTGTGTGAAAGTGGGAGCTGTAGGGCACATTAGCACAGATGCAAACATCATCTACTAGTGGACTACTAGTCATTAAAAATCACAATGGTGGTTGCAGGACTATTTACGATAGCAAAAAGATGGAAACAACCTAGGTACCCATCGACAGAAGAATGGATAAGCAAACTACGGTACATGCACATGGTGCAATACTATACAACACTAAAGAATAATGCAGAATCTGCAAAACACCGCATAACATGGATGAACTTGGAGAACATTATGCTGAGTGAAATAAGTCAATCACAGAAGGACAAATATAGTATTAATTCATTATTGTAAAAGCCAAGGGAAGGTTTATACAGGAAAGAAACTTTCTTTGTTGGTTACTGGGGTGGGGGGAGAACTGCCAAAAAAAAAAAAAAAAGCATTGACCCACATCACTTAAGTTTCGTGTATTTAAGTGTATGTAAATATGTAAATTATATTTCAATAAAATGTATTTAAAGAAAAATGATGGAGGAACCCCCAAGACTACAGTCCTTAGTCCTTTGGATCCAGAGCTAAACTCACTCCTGTGGCTCAATTTTCAGCCAAACAGGCCTATGAGATGAACAAGAACTCCAGGGAGGTATGCACTCCTTAGACCAGCCAATCACCAACCACAGGAGATGGAAAGGGCAGCATGTGCCCAGGGATAAAGCTCAGAAGGCAGGAGGGGACAGGAGAGAAGGATGAACGGAAAAGGTAAACACAGGGAGGAAGTGGGACTGCAGTCACGACTTGAAACACAATGTGTGTGGATTTTGAATGGAAAACTGGTTTGCTCTGTAAACTTTCACCCAAACCACAATAAAAAGTTAAAAAAAAAAGACTAAATATTAAAATTTTAATCTATTAAAAATATTCAAAGATGTAAATATGCTAATGTTATCACTGTAAGTAAAAGATGAGAAAAAACTGTATTTAAGTATAATTCTCAACTATGTTAAAAATTATATACATGGAGCCAAAAATAAAGTCCAAATAAAAATAACAAACATTAAAAAAAAAAAAAAACAGAACTCAAATCATTGACAAAGGCCTAATTTACTCCATTTATAAAGAGGAACTATAAATGAATAAGAAAAAGACCAAGCACCCAAGGAAAAAAGACAAGAGATTTAAATTCACAGGGAGAAACTGGCTCTCGGCGTTCAGGAAAGACATCCAACCTCCCACGTGACGGACACCTGCACACTCCAAACAGCAGGAGGCAAAGGCACACAGTGTCGCAGCCAAGGACGCAGCCAGCGCTGTGCCATCCCTACGGCCAGGCTGAGAGCGTGAGGACACGTCTGTGTTAGGGGACACTGTAGCCAGGAAAGGGGGGCAGCTTGAAACACTGAGCATTTCCAAAATATGCTGAGAAGTGGACACAAAAGTCCGAGGTGCAAAACAATCTGACCCGTGCCCCTGGTGGGGAAGATGCACCCCCTGTGCACACATCATCCGGCACTAAGAACACCCCAGAGACCACTGCTGGAGGCCGCCGGGGAGGCACAAGGTGAGCCTAGGGCATCTTTTTTTTTTAAGATAGAAAGTAAGGAAGTACTCAAAGAATAATGGGGACACATCCAGAAAACAAAGGAGCCAGCCTGAAAGGACAGCCACTGGCCAAGTCTGGGATAATCTGAGCACCAAAGGGAGTAATCCAGGGAGAATCCATGAGTTCATAGTAATATGAATAAATGAACAATGAATGGAGGAAAAGGAGAGTTCTTCCTTTGAGTTGAGTGTCAGTTACTAAATGTGGAAGTGATATTGGAATCAGAAAGAAAGCACCCATCCGCAACCATCACGGTAATAACTGATTTAAGCAAGAATGATCAACGGATGTAAAAATGAGTGAGGACGTTTGATGAAGAAAAAGGTATTTACACCATCAAGGTATCACCCCACACTCACTAACTAATTTCAAAGAGAAAAACAGTAACTTTAGGTGAAAAGGCCTGGTGGACACTGCCTTCATCAAATCATCACGATCAAGTTCAACATCACCCACAACGGAATAAGCTGACACCCTGGGACGCCTGATATGATGCACAGAAAAGAACATCACATCACTCCTGTGGTATTTCTGCCAAAAAAGCATTACCTGAATCTTATCCAGGGAAAATGTCAGATAAACCCAAATTCAGGGACACTCGACTAGATAACTGGCCTGTAACCTTCAAAAATGTCAAGGTCATGAAAAAGGCAGGCTGGGACACTGCTGCAGATAAAACAGACTGAAGATGTGACAACCAATGCAACAGATTATCCGGGACTGGCCCCTGGACCAGGGATGACACAGCTAAGAACTAGGAAGGCCACTGGAAGGACAGTTAAGGAGGCTTCACCACAGACAACCCTGTATCAATGGTCAGAGTCCTCATTTCCACAGCTGTACTGTTGTGACCTGAGAGGGCTCTAGTTCTCAGAAAAGACACATGGAAGTATTCAGAAATAAAACCAAAAAGCACAAACCAGTTGCTGTTGAATCGACTCTGACTCACGGTGACCCCACGTGTGTCAGAACAGACCTCTGTGCACCACAGTTTACAACGGCTGATTTTCTGGAAGTAGATCACAAGAAAATGAGCAAACCAGAAACAGTAAAGCAAATGGGACAAAAATGCTGACAACTGGTGAGCCTGGGCGAAAGGGTAAGGGAGTTCTTCACACTACCCTATACATCCGAATTACAGCAAAATTAAAAATTGCTGAAAAGATAAAGGAGCGTATCGGGAGGAAGTGGGAGGGGAGCTATTGCACTGTGGTAAATTGTAGTCAATGTTGTGAGACAAAGTGTATGTGAACTGCTGTATGGAAAGTAAATTTGCTCTATAAATTTTCACTCAAATCACACACACACACCAAAAAGATAAAGGAGAAGGAATTCGACTCAGAATAAAGTTTAAGTCTTTCCTCACCGTGAAATGACCAAAATATTCCAAAGTGAATTTTCAGAAAAGACAGCATAGTTTCTTGGCTCCGTCTATACTGTCTACCTACCGAGACAGAGCTCTCCTGAAGCATGTAGAAGGTTCTGGATAAAACAGCTACGAAGTCTCAAGGCCCTCAGCATTTGGGGAGCATAAGGAAGCGTGTGTGGGGGGGGGCGGTACTTACCATCCCGGAGCCACCACAGTAGTGGCAGTGCTGCATCTTGGTGCCGGGCTCGTTCCCTTTGCCATCACACCGCTCACAGGTGTCAGTGATGTTCACCGTGAACTCCTTGTTGACACCCTTGGCAGCTTGATTGAACGTCAAGTCCATGATGTACTGAAAAGACCAAGGGGCAGGCCTGTCACCCTCCTCTGCACCGTGACCAAGGTGATGCTTGGGGAGGCGGGCTCACATCACAGATGAGGGTCTGCCCCTCAGGGTTTGGAAGAGATCCCATGTGTCTCATCTGAAGTGAAAATACACTTTCCTGTAAACTGGGAATATTCCCAGGAAATGTCTGTGCACAGCACTTTTGGTCCTGAATCATCCACAGTGCTAACTCCCGTCAGCAAACACCCCCCACACCCCGTCTGCTCCACTAACGTCTTAAGATGCCATAGATATGGAAGAGGTAGTAGGGTTGTCAGTCTCCCTTCTGACTCTGAGAACAGTGCAGCAGGCGCTGGTTAAAATACCTACCCCTCACCTACCCTTCATCGTGAACTCTGAAAGCCTTAGATGCCGCCTGGCTAACCAACTGTAAGAACACAGTCAACATGGAAGGGCTTATACTGTTGCCTGTAGGAGTGTCCAGTGACTGGGATTAGTGTCTACCAAAGTGGCTGCCTCTGGATCATGCCATCTCCATGGCTTCGATAAAATTCCTGTTTTCATCACACTCAGCCTAAAATTCTGACGACCTTTCAAAACGAGGGGGCACCTACCTCCTGAGGCTGATCAAAGATGCCCTGGAAATCTCCAAACGATGATGAGGAGAACTCCCCAAAGATCTTCCTGAACAGCTCCTCGGGGTCGATGGTGGGGCCTCCCCTCCAGTAGCTCTGCCCGGAGCCACCAGCCCCAGGGTCAAAGCCTGCGGCACCGTATGTATCGTACTGCTTTCTCTTCACTTCATCGCTCAGCACCTACCCAAGAAAAGGCGGGATGGTCATGCGCCCATTTCCCCTGGGGTGCGGGGGACAGCCAAAGTCATACCACGCACACCACGCCAACCAGCAGCACCACCCACGAGGAGACCGCTGTGCACAGAAACATGTATGACAAGAGGGAGAGAAGGGTGGCACAATGCATCGAATGGAATCAGGGTCACTGAGCTGCATGCGCAGAAATGGCCACACCTGTGTCTTTGCTGTGTGTCCTCTACAGCCAACAACAGAAAGCTGACAAGTTCTCTGAGCTGGAGTGGGACCAGGACTTCAGCAGCAAGGAGAGGACAGAGCTGACTAATGATCCAAGTGTGGGACCTGGAGGCTACCTGGGGGCTGCCTGTGATATGACAATGTGTGCAGGTGGGAGTCCCAGAACAGCCTCCCTGGCAACCTGGGCTCTTCCTGACCCCTTGTCTACTTCTCAGGGGATGCTAGTGCCAAAGACATGCACAGAGCCTTCCCCTGCACCCGCCAGTCTCCCAGAGGTGGGAGCAAAGGTCTGCAGGTAGAAGACACCAGGTAAACGTTTGGAAGGCTGTATTCCCTCGTACAGACGTACGTAGGTATCTGTACAAAACTGGTAAGAGGAGCTATGCTGGGCAGGGGGACAAAGGAGGGATGAGAGATGCACACCTCTCCCTCTTGCATTATCTGTTTACTTTCTCTCCCCCTCCCTAATTCAAAAGAACTGCAGACATGAGGAAGGGTAGCTTCTGGAGACTCGTGTCCAAAGGCAGAAGGAAAGTGATACACTGACGACGGCGTGGACCGAACAGAGGAAGCACGGTCACACTGGCGGGAACCCGGCTTGTCGGGAAGTCCGCGCGGACCAACGAAGGAAAACAGCCTCCTCCTGGATCAAGCAGGAAAGTGCTTTGCTCCCCGGAGGGAAAGGGAAGGGTCTTCTACCAAAGCGGCTGCCTCCAGACCAGTCCATCTTAGCTGCTTGATAAAATGTCTGTTTTCTTGATAAAATTTCAGTTCTGCCTCGAATCAAAGGGGGACACTCAGGAGGCCAGGTAGAGCACGGCTGGACGCTGAGGGGCCAGGCGGAGCACGGCTGGGCACTGAGGGCACTCGTAGGGTGCCCGGCTAAGAGGCAAAGAAGGCAGGTGGAATGGGAAGAGGCAGATGCCATGAGTGGAGGCAAAAAGGCAGAAGCCCTTAGGTTCCTGGGGGCCCTTGCTTCCTGATTCCAAACCCCCTTCTACCCTCAGCTTGCTCTCTCCTTCTAAGAATATCCTCTCACCAGAAAGTAAAGCTCAGCATCCACAGAGGCAGGTTCAGGAGCCTTTAGTGTATCATCAACTAGACTGAGCCACTGTAATAAAACTTGTGTTTAAAAAATACACTTTCAAACCCACCTTCCCACAGAGGTAGCTGGCAGGGAAAAGACGCATGAATTCAGTAAGTATTCACTCAGCTGGGGCTGCTCTTACATGGGGCTGCATGCTCTTGTGGGTAAGTATGCAATGGCCTACACATCCCGGACCCCAGCATGGCAGGGGTGGTCTGGAAGAAGGTCTACTGGCAGACTCCTGGAAACGCCAGAAGTTGTTTATGGACATGTGCTCATCTCTGATGGCATCTTGCCTTCTTCCAGGCTCTGCTACTCCCCTGGCCTGCTCCTTTTAGAATACCCACTGTCCCCAGCAGACAGCAGTGCACAAGCCAGGAATCTGTTAATCTGCAGGAACAAGTGCTGGGCCCCTTCCCAAACTGGCTACAAATGTGAGCCACCTGCAGGAGCTTTGCTGTTACAGACTGCCTGGCCACTTCCCTTGAGATTCCAAGTGAGCAGGTCTGGAGTGAAATCTAGGGATTTTTAGGGGGAAGGGGGTAGGATGTGGGGGACATGGCCTTCACACAGACCTTGTGGCGTGACAGGCCGCCTGTCCACCGTCTGTGAGCTCTGATTCACACACACACCAGTCACATTACCTCGTAGGCTTCTGCCAACTGCGAGAACTTCTCCTTGGCTTTGGGATCATCTTTATTTGTGTCTGGGTGGTATTTCTTGGCAAGCTGAGGGAAGAAATGGTGAATGATCAAGGACACAGGAACTATCGCAGAACCTGTCCTTCACAGCAGATGGCTCTCTCGAGACGCGGCCCAAGAGCAGTTCCTAAGACTTCAGATTCTTAAGAGTTGCTTCAAATCTGAGGTGTATCCACATCGCCTTAACCACAAGTCTCTATCAAACATAACAATGCACTCTTCAGAAGTTGGGCAGCTTTGTAAAAGTAGGGTGCAAATGGGGTGTCTGATAGGATATCACTTACATAAAACGGGCGAGTGATGAGACAGGTCGACAGGAAGGACTGAAACATCTCAGGCGGTATAGGCAGGGCCGACTCCAAAAAGCCTGGGCTGGAGATACCTGCTTAACACCCATGGCATGAGAAGCCGCCTTCCCTTTAGGCAGCTGACACTACTGACCACACAGAGTAACTGCTAAAAGGTGTGCAGAAGGGCTGTATCCTCTCACCATACTAATTCAGTCTGTATGCTGAGCAAATAACCCCAGAAGCTGGACTATACAAAGGACATGACATCAGGACTGGAGGAAGACTCATAAACAATCTATGATATGCAGATCACAAACTTGCTTGCTGCAAGCGAAGAAGACTTGAAGCACTTACTGATGAAGATCAAAGACTACAGCCTTCAGTATAGATTTCACCTCAATATGTAGAAAACAAAAATCCTTACAACTGGACCAATAAGCAATCTCATGATAAATACAGAAAAGACTGAAGTTGTCAAGGATTTCATTTTACTTGGATCCAAAATCAATGCCCATGGACAAAGTACCAAATGTGAGTCATCAACATGGTGACACTGAGGAAGAGGAAGACATAGAGAGGTACATGGGAGGTGCAGACAACAAAGATGAACCCTTTTGCACATACAGTACTGCATTGTCAGTGAAGGCAAACACGGGTATATGGGTGGATAGATGGGTGGAGAAGCTGAACTATTAGGTATGTCTATGCAGCGGGGAGTGTAGCTACCCAGAGGGACCAAGTAGTTGAACCTGTGGGCTCGTGACCATAGTCTCAGGGGACATCAAGCTCAATTGGCATAACATACACAAAACCTTGTTCCACCTCCTACTTTGGCGAGTAGTGACTGGGATCTTAAAAGCTTGCAAGCAACCATCTAGATTCAACAATGGTTCTCTCCTCATCCAGAGCAAAGAAGAATGATGAAAACCAAAGATTCATGGAAACAATTAGTCCTGGCAACCGGTACACTATGTGATCCTCAGCCTATACGACTACAAGACCAGAAGAACTAGATGGTGCCTGGCTACCACTGTCAACCACTCGGAGGGGGATCTATATAGGAGATCTTGGATAGAGAAGGAGAACAATGTGAAACAGACTCAAAATCATTTGGAGAAAAAAGGGGGGGCCAGGTTTGCTAGTCTGATAGAGCCTGGTGGAACCACTGAGACTATGTACGGTCCATAGCTGCCCTTTAGGGGTAGAATTGAATCCACACCTGTGGCTTCCAGCCAAACAAAAGACAAGCATAAGAGATGAACATGGACCTGTCCCAGTCGCTACTCGCCAAAGTAGGAGATGGAACCATGTTTTGTGTATGTTATGCCAGTTGAGCTCAATGTCCCCTGTGACTACGGTCCCGAGCCCACAGGTTCAACTACTCACTCCCTCTGGGTAGCTGGCTGTGAGGTGGATACACTCCTTGGAAAGAACAATCATGGGAGAAAGAAGGGCTATTTATGCACAGGGAGATAGTTCAGGGGGCAGGAGTGCATGGAGGGATGGACACAGGGAAGAGGTAACTATCAGGAGGAAGTGGGAGGGGAGCTGTTGCATTGGGGTGAATTGTAGTCAATGTCATGAGACAACATGTGTGTGAACTGCTGTATGGAAAGTGAATTTGCTCTGTAAACTTTCACCCAAATCATAATTTAAATAAATAAATAAATCCTAAAAAAAAATCAATGCCTAAGGAAACAGCAGTCAAAAAATCAAGTGACATACTCCACTGGGATAATAATCTGCTGCAAAAGACCTCTTCAAAGTGTTAAAGAGCAAAGATGTTACTTTAAAGACTAAGGTGAGCCTGACCCAAGTCATGGTGTTTTCAATCACTTCATACAAATGAGAAAGCCGGGCAATGAATAAGGAAGAGAGAAGAAGAATCAACACCTTTGAATTGTGGTGTTGGCAAAGACAATGACTATACCATGGACAGCCAGAAGAACACACAAATCTGCCGTAGAAGGAGCCAGAATACTCCTTAGAAGCGAGGACAGCAAGACTTCATCTCCCACACTTTGGACAGGTTTTTTAGGGGGACCAGTCCCCGAGAAGGACATCATGGTTAGTGAAGCAGGTCAGTAAAAAGGAGGAAGACCCTGACACGATGCACTGACAGTGGCAGCAACGACGGGCTCAAGCACAGAAATGACTGTGAGGCTGACACAAGCCCAGGCAGCACTTTGCTCTGTCATGACAGGGTCACTGGGGGTTGGAACTGCCTTCACGGCGCTTAACAACAAAAGGGCCTCAGTACCTCATCCAAGTGGAGAAACAGCTCAGGATCATTTGCAGCGGTGTGCACCTGACCAGCAGCTCTGCTGTTCCAAAGTTAGCTCTTCCTTAGAGAGAGCTTCACTATGTCCCCTGCTGCCCTCTGGTGTCACACAGGTGACTTTAATCCTCTTCCACAAAACAGCCTAGCAGACAACTGAGACTAGATAAAACTCATTGCTGGTGAGTCAATTCCGGTTCATAAAGACCCTATAGGTCAGAGCAGAACTGCCCCATAGGATTTCCAAGGCTGTCATCTTTAAGGAAGCAGCCTTCCACGTCTTTCTCCCATGGAGTGGCTGGTGGGTTTGAACTGCTGACTTTCCACTTAGCAGCCAAGCACCTAAACACTGTGCCACCTGGGCTCCTTCAGACGAGACAGCGTGACCGTCTAAGTCCATTCTCTATGCTAAGCATCAAGACCCACAGCCAGCTTTCAATCTTCCACGCCGGTGAAAAGAAGCACTGTGGCTTTTTGGTGCTGATAGCATTCCTGCAAACATGGTGAACGTTCCTAAAACCTGCCAGACTTTTTGTAAGAAGTGTGGCAAGCACCAACCCCACAAAGTGACACAGTACAAGAAGAGCACAGATTCGCTATCTGCCCGGGGAAAGCGGCATTACGACAGAAGCAGAGTGGCTATGGTGGGCAGACTAAGCCAATTTTCCAAAAAATGGCTAAAACTAAGATGATTGTGTTGAGGCTTGAATGTGTTGAGCCCAACTGCAGGTCTAGGAGAATGCTGACCAGTAAGAGGTGCAAGCATAGTGAACTGGGAGGAAATGAGAAGAGAAAGAGGAGGTGATCCAGGTCTAAGCTTCATCTTGTTTTGTTATCAAGACAATAAAACCTTGAGGTGATGTTTTAAAAAAAAAAAAAAAGGAAGCACCACAAAGCACTAGTCCTGTGGGAAAAACCCTTGTTCACATGTCACCAGGTTTGGTTTTCAGGAGGAATGAGGACATGGACAGATGTTGCCAGAAGCACTGCCCCCTCCCCAGGGCCAGGCCCAAGGCAAAAGTGGCAGAAGGAACAGTACCAGCATTCAGGGTACAACAGCCACAGGTGGAAAAGGTGGGGGCAAAGCCCCATCAGTCCCCCCAACTCAGCCTGCCTCGGACATAGTCTTACTCACGTAGGCCACATGCAGGGTGCTGAGCCCTGCAGGGCCCTCCGGGGTGGCCAGCAGACTACAATGGGCTATGAGGCTCCAACATCACGTGATCCCAAACACAAAAGATCCCAAAGCAAAAGATACTGATAAGTTCATGAGACCAAGTGGAAAAGAGAACTTCCTGCAGCCAGAAAGACCTGGACCTTAGGCTCCTGGCCACCACAGATGGACATATGCATATGTCATAAGTTCTCAGAGCCTCAGTTTCTTCATCAGCAAAGCAGGGATGTTAACAGCTTCCCACCAAGCGGCCAAGAGCGTAAAATGACATGATGCATGTACAGCTTGCATCAATGTCTGACAAAGATGACGGGGCAACAAAAGCTCCTTTAAAAAATGTCAGGTTTCAAATTGCACAGCTTCACCTGATCTGCTTAATTCCATGCCTAAAAATCCAAATGGATCCCTGCTCTCTCAAATGAAGTCTCGAGTACTTGCCAATGCCCTTAACTGTCATGTTAACTTGGCGCCAGCCTCCAGCCGTTTCATCTTCTTCCAACTTGGCAGCAGGTACCCTGGTCTCCTGCTCAAAAAGACACACCACTCCTAAGCAGATCTCCGCTTCCCATGCTACGCCTCTGTCCATCTCCAACTGCAGAAAAAACAACTGACCCAACCACAAAGTGGACAAAGGATCTAAAGAGACATTTTTCCAAAGAAGACATAAAAGTGTACAATAAGCACACAACATGACATTCACCATCACTGATCGCTTGTTGTTCTGTGCCGCTGAGTCAGACCCAACTCACAGCGACCCCTCTGTGGGTTTCCAAGGCAGCATCACTATGGATGTAGATGGCCCAACCTTCCTTCTGAGGAGTGGCTGGTGGGTTTGAACCGTCAGTCTTTCACTGATCACAAGGAGAAAGAAAATCAAAACCACAGTGAGATACCATTCCATACCCAACAGGACGGCTAGAATCAAAGATACCATCCCATACCCAACAGGACATCCAGAATCAGAGAGATAGATGATAATGAGCGCCGGCAAGGCCGAGGAGCGATTGGAACCCTCATATACTGCTGGTGGGAAGACAGAATGTGCAGCTGCTTCGAAAAACAGTCTGGCGGTTCCTCAAAAAAGTTAAATATAGTTACCACAGGACCCAGCCAATTTACGCCTTAGTATACATCCAAAAGAAATGAAAACATATGTGTCCACACAAAAATGTGTACACAAATGTTCATAGCAGTATTACTCAAAACAGGCAAAAAGCAGAAATAACACAAATGCCCTTCAGCAGATGAATGGCTGAATCAAATGAAGTATACTCACACAATGGAATACTGTTTGACCTTAGAAAGGAATAAACCTTGTTACATGCTACAGCATGGATAAATCTGGAAAAGAATGTTTCTCATACCATCCATGACAGTGAAAGACAGTCATAAAAGGTCCCAGATTGTACCATTGCATTTATATGAAATATCTACAAAAGGGCAATCCATAGACAGGAAGTAGAGAAGCAGTTCCCGGGGTGGGGGGAGCGGAAAGTGACTGCTAATGGTTATGGGGTGTTGTCTGGGGTGATGAAGATATTCTGAAATTGACAGTGGTGGTGATGGTTGCTAAGTTCTTAAATATACTAAAACCCAGTGAATTGTACGCTTCAAAAAAAGGTAACAGAAGGAGCAGCCCTGTCTTGGTTCTCTAGTGCTACTAGAACAGAAATAAAGTGGATGGCTTTCACAAACAGAAATGCATTTTCTCACAGTTTTGGAGCTACTAATCCATATTCAGGGGAAGGCTTTCTCTGTTGGCTCTGGGGGAGGTCCTTGTTCCCTGGTTCCTGGCATCTCTCTGCCCCCGACTCTACCCCCGCGGTTATTTCGTTCATTTTATATTTCAGTAGAGACGGACTCAATGCACACCCTACACTACCCTGTCTTGTTGACGTAACAAAGACAACTCATGCCCAGATGGGATTATAACCATACCTACATGAATTAGGATTTACAGCACATACTGGGGTCTTAACTCAATCCATACCACCACCCAAGCCATAAGCTATTAGGTCTGATCTCAGTCAGTATTTGGGTCACAAATACCAGGCTAGTTTTGCCCGCCCACTGAAAAATGAAAGGACATCAAGAATCTCATGAGTTTTTCATAAAGGTTGTTGTTGTTGTTGTTGTTTTTGTTTGCCGTCGAGTCGGCCCGACTCATAGCGACCCCTCCTTGGGTTTCCGAGGCAGTATCACTACGGAAGTAGGAATGCCCAACCTTCCTTCCGAAGAGTGGCTGGTGGGTTTGAACCGCCAGCCTTCTGGTGAGCAGTCAAGTGCCTTAGGCACTATGCTATCAGAGCTCCTTTTCATAAAGGTAAGCCAGTTTAATTTCATGAATCTTTTCTTTATTCTGACATCCTGGCCTTCCTAGTTTAATGGTGGTAAGACGTTTCCATTCACGAAATGATGCTGCTAGACTGTACTTGGCCCTTTACCGTCTGTGTTCGGCCAAATACAAAAGTCGGCAATCCAGCATCAATGGCCCTGAGTTTTATGCTTTTGGTCAGAGCTAACCAAAAGTCTAGGAACCACTGGCCCATATAACTCACCACTCTGATTAGCCCTGAGACATTCTGGGATCGGATCATGGGACTCTCATAGTTTCTTGGTTAAAAACAATAATTCTAAACCCAAAGACTTTTTATCTTTACAAAAAGAACTACTACTTATACTTAGACCAGCATACCCACTGATTCTGAAGGCACAGAAGAAAATTATGTGAAATCTCTGCCTCTCCTCTTTTCTGAAGCCTGTCATCACAGTGTCCCCAACTGAAGAAAGCGTATAGCAAAGGCCACCTTTATGCCATCAGCCCACACTCAACTGCATGACACCTACATGCACAGACGGGCACACACTGCACTATCAGAACCAGCTGGGCCGACAGCCCTCACTCCACACTCCAGGCTCCAAAGGCTGACTCTATACACACCTGGTAGTAGGCTTTCTTGATCTCTTTCTGGCTGGCGTTTCGGGGCACTCCTAGGATCTGGTAATAATCCTCTTTGGCCAAAGGGCTGCTCGTGTGGAAGGAGGCGGTACAAACAAAAGGGTAACTTTTTACTCCTGGAAAAGAAAAACAGAAAGAAAGAAAATCACCCTGGTAATGTGCTGAACCAAAGAAAATGGTGAGTCAGCTGCCGAGTAGGACAAACCTGTAAGGAACAGAGAGCACACCTGGAGGTTCCTACCAAAGCCCAAACCAAACCCACTGCTGTGGAGTTGATTCCGACCCACAGCGCCCCTGGAAGAGAGTGGAACTGTCCCACAGGGTTTCCAAGGCTGTCAATCTTCACAGAAGCAAAACCCAAACCACACCCACTGCCGTGGAGTGGATTCCGACCCACAGAGCCCCTAGAACACAGAGGGGAACTGCCCCACAGGGGTCTCAAGGCTGTCAGTCTTTACTGAAGCAGAATACCATATATTTCTCTTGCGAAACAGCTGGTGGGTTGGAACCACCAACTTTCTGGCTAGCAGCCAAATGCTTTAACCACTGTGCCACCAGGTCTCCTACAAATAATGCACTTCAAAATGGCTCAGGCCCCTCATTCCATCAATGTGAAACAACAGTGGAGTCCCACCTGCAGTCAGTTCTGCTGCATTATACTACAGCTGCGTTACACTTCCTAGGGTCTAACACCAGATTGGGGTTGCACCTAAGGGACACTCACAAAGGGGCTCAACACTCCCCCAGACACTGACTGAGCCCCTAGCTTGTGCTAGGTACTTTCGAATGCTACCTCTCACTTAATTCTGCTACTCTCACCTAATTCTTAACTCTTCCATGCAACCTTGGTGATCTGCTTACATGGTCGTTCTCAAAGTGGGGTCCCTGGACCAGTAGCATCTCCATCAATTTGTTAGAAATGTAAATTTCCAGGCTCCACCCTAGACCTGAACCAGAAACCCTAGAGGTGGAGTCCAGCAAGCTGTGTTTTAAGGAGCCCTCCGAGGGATGAGTGATGCACATTCAAGTTTGAGAAACACTGTACTAAAGAACAGGAGCCCAGGAGGTACAGTGGTTAAGGCATGTGGCTGCTAACCAAAAGGTCAGTGATTCACCCCACCAGCCACTCAATGATGAGAAAGATGAGGCAGTCTGTTTCTGTAAAGATATACAGCCTTGGAACCCCATTTGGCAGTTCTACTCTGTCCTATAGGGTCTCTATGGGTTGGAATTGACTTGACACCAGTGGGTTTGGTCTTTGGCTTGGTACTAAAGAAACAGTTCTTGGTCTTCTTAGAGTGGCAAACCTGAGAGACTAATGCAAGTTCTGACCCCTCCCCTAAAAGGAACACAGACACACAAACTGACTACAACATCAGGGAGGCAGGCAGACTCCAGGTTCAAAGGGTCTATGCTGTCTGCCCCAGAACAGACAACTTCAAAGGAACCAAAGCACGAGTCAAGTAGCCAATTACACTGCCCTTCTTCCAAGGCTCTTGCATCAGCAACTCCAAAGAAAGGCTGATCTCTGCTCGGCCAACTTTTCCGCAGGGACGGAGCACACAAGCTCAGACCGGCCCATCACCAGGGGAAGCTAGGCAAGTTGCTCTACAGAGTCAGGTCCATGGGGAGGGCAGAGCTAGGGGTAGCATGGGGCTAGCTAGTTAGGGCAGAAGGGACAGTGGTGTCAAGAAAGGGGAATGAGGGTCGAGGAAGCTGCAGGTTTCTAAGTGGAACGTGCACCTGCAGGACAGAAGCTCGCGTCTCCTCCATTCATTCAGCCAACACTTCCTGAGTGCCACGTGCTGCTCTCCACATTGGGCACCGCAGCACACGAGCCAACTCCCGGAGACGGTAGCTATTTAACAACCGCACAGTGTCAACCAGTATCTTACCACTGTCCTAGGCACGGAGGATGCAAGAATGAAACACTCACTGCCACTGCCCACAAAGCCTGCTCTGGCAGTACTGCGAGGCACCATGACGAGGACAAGTCCAGGGGGAGAACACACAAAATGGCCACCTCACCCTGGGTTCATCGATGACAGCACTACTGACATTTGGGGCTGGTACTTCCTCGTTGTGGGGGCTGCTCTGTGCCCTGCAGGGCTGAGCAGCATCCCTGCTCTCTATCCACCAGATGCCAGCAGCAGCCTCCAGCCCCCAGTTCACAACCAAACACGTCCCCTGGGGGTAAAATCGCCCCCAGCTGAGGCCACTGACAACTCAACCTAAGGTCAGGGAAGGTTTCCTAGGGCACCTGCTGTTAGTGAGTTTAAGAAAGGATTCGACTATGTCTAGATTTATACCTATTGTCCAGGCGTGGTTACTGGCAGCATGCCACGCCTGGTGTGGACGTTACATTATATGATCACCTTAGGTTCAGAGAGCGTGAGTGGTTCAGGTAAAAGCAAGCAGTAATGACCTAGACTATTTAGGAAGTACAAATACTGTGACTACAAGACTATGCACATAGGTACATATGAACGCCTGTGTGTGTGTGTGTGTGTGTGTGGTGGCAGGGATTGGCTAGAGATGATAGTGATGATGATGACGAATGAGGCCCAGGAATAAGCAGAAAGGCCTGCAGAGCCAAGAAGCCAGCAATTTACCCTGAGGGCAACAGGCGGCCAGTGAAGGTTGTAAACAAGGAATTGATCAGGTTCCCATATGAGAAGCAGGACTCAGAAGGAGGACTGGAAGAGGATGCTGAGTTAACTTGAGCACAAAAGATAAGCAAGGGGAATGAGCATACCCGAGACCAAAAACCCACTACTGTTGAGTCATGTTGACACAAAGCAACCCTTTAGGACAAAGCAGAACCGCCCAGGGGGTTTCCACAGCTGTCAATGTTGACAGAAGCAGACCGCCACATCTTTCTCCATCAGAGCAGCCGGTGGGTCCTAACAGCCAACCTTTTGGTTAGCGACCAAGTGCTTAACCACTGCACCACCAGGGCCCCTTGGCACACAGTAGGTGCTCAATAAATGTTAGGCTGTTTCCACCAATTTGAGAACTTCTGGAAAAAAGACTGAGTGAAAAGAGGTCTTAATCTCAAGTTAGAATAAAGAGGAGACTGGCAAACCAGCAAGTAGATGACAAACCACCCTCAACTACTGCAAGTCAGACAAGTTTTGACATTACTAAAAAGGCACCAATAGACCAGAACTAGATGGTGCCCAGCTACCACTACCATCCACTTGGAAGGGATGTAGGAGATCCTGCATAAAGAAGGAGAACAATGTGGAACAAAACTCAAAATCCTCTGGAGGCAAAAAAAAAAAAGAAGGTGGGGACCGGGTTTGCTGGTCCAATAGAGCCTGGTGTAACCACTGAGACTATGGCCCCTAGCTGCCCTTCAGGTCTGGAATTGAACCCACAACTGTGGTTTCCAGCCAAACAAAGTATAGGCATGTGAGTTAAACATTTACCTCAAGTAGACACACACCCTGGAGAGAACAATCATGGGAGAAGGAAGGGCTGCTTATGCACAGGGAGATAGCTCAGGGTGCAGAAGAGTATGAAGGGATGGACACTGGGAGGAGGTAACTATGGGGAGGAAGTGGGAGGGGAGCTGCTGCATTGTAAATTTTAGTCAGTGACATGAGACAAAGTATATGTGAACTGCTGTATGAAAAGTGAATTTACTCTGTAAATCTTCACCCAAATCTTATTAAAAAAAAAAAAAAAGGCACCAATAATGAGCGATAACTAAGAAGTGTTCAATTAACACACAATTTTTTCCCCAAGAAAATAAATGCCTTCCCTTTTTTAGAGCCAATGGGAACACGATTAGCATCCATGGCAGTTCTGAGAATGGCCACCCCACTGTCACACAGTTGCCTTCTCTCTCTCTGCCCTGGGTAAAAGGCAGGCAGGGATGTCAAGGGTAGTTTCTGCTTTGTAACTGTACTACTAAAGCTGAGAGGTCGCTGACCAGTGTTTGGAGCTGAGCTGATGAGTTTAGCTGTGGTCAGAGACGAGAGTGCCCCACCTCTTGTGTATTCTGCAACAAAACATGCCACTGTGACTATGGGTTCACTTGGGGAAGAAAACTGACTGCTATTCTTTTGTTAACAGTCCTTACGGGACGTGATGGATCCTATTTATGGACCCCACAGAAGACTCAGGACAGACCTATCTCTCTTTCTCTCACACACATACACATACACACACACACAGTTATCAAAGATGCCACCCAAACTTGTACACATACAGTATGAATGAATTTAACTTAAAGAGTTGCAAGCCACCTAAGGGATTAATACTTGAACAAAAAGACACAGCCAGAATTTATTTAAAGATTCCTGTTACTCACGCAGATATAAAATGTCAGCAAAACCTAAAAATGACCACTCTTGCTGATAGGGAAGAATATGACATGACATCTCCCCAAATAAGCTTGAGAAAATTGGACAACTACTCAACAGGTTATCATTCGATCCATGAGAAAATGATCGCAAGAACAGAATCTAAAAAGCAGATGGACTGACCATACTATCTAGTCTCCTTATTCCCTGCTGTATCCCCAGTGCCCGAGACAGTGGCCAGCATGTGATGGCTCTCAGTAAGTATCTGTGAATGAACACATTTTTACGGTTAAGGAGAGAGGCTTAACAGGATTAAATAATTCACCTAGGATTAAATAATTCAACCAGTAGAGGCTGGTCTGCTCACCCTCAATGCCCAGGCTATTTTTTTCACACTGCACAGAGTAATCATGATTACTGATCTGTCAATAACTGAAGATCACCTAAGTTTCCATAACAGGAAAAGTTGTGTGCTGTTGAGCTGTTTCCGACTCACAGGGATCCTACAGGACAGAGTAGAAATCCCCCAAAGGGTTTCCTAGGCTCTAATCTTTATGGAAGCAGGTCACCAGGTCTTCTCTCCCACTGAGCTGTTGTTGGTCGATTTGAACCACTGATCTTTCATCAGTTAGCAGAATGCTTTAACCACTGCACCACCATGGTGCCTAAATAGGAAATTAACTTGTGTAAATTATCTTATCAAGGCCTTTTAATTGATCTTTCTAAATTGATGTTGTATTGTTGCTAGGTGCCCTCGAGTCAAGTCTGACGCATAGCAACCCCAAGTGGCAGAATTGAATTGCCTGTTAGGGTATCCTAGGCTATAATCTTTACAGGAGCAGACTGCTGAGCCTTTTTTCCCACAGAATCACCAAGTGCTAAACCACACCGCCACGAAGGCTCCTTTGAAAAACTTGTTGTCGTTATGTGCCGTCGAGTCGGACCCGACTCATAGCGACCCCTCCTTGGGTTTCCGAGGCAGTATCACTACAGAAGTAGATTGCCCCATCTTCCTTACTAGGAGTGGCTGGTGGATTTGAACCTCCAGCCTTCTGGTTATCAGTCAAATGCCTTAGGCACGATGTAGTTCAAATATCATTTGCAGAAACTCTAAGGGACCCTAAGCAATGTGTAGACTAGTGCAACTGAGGCAAACAGGAGGTTTTTTGAGGTTTGTTCCTTCCTCACTAAAATGGAAGTCACCCAACACACCTCATGGCTGTAGTTAAGGCTTGATACATTCAACATCACTTCCACCAATGAAGGCAGCAGCAGATTTCAAATCAAGGCGCCACCACTTCTCAGCTTTATGAACTTCTCCAAGTAGGCACTACGCTACCAGAGCTCCCTTTTTTTTTTTTGAACACGTGGAAATGTGAGGCAAGGAGAAAACCTGTGCCGGGGACACAAGAAGTGCTCAAGAAACGTAAGGCTGTATTAGTATTACAATCACCAATTTAAGGACTTTGAGTGGTGGTAGGAAAGGCTTATTCAACGAAATGACAGCTCCGGGTTCGGGACAACTCCTGTCATCTAACGTTAAGCCTGGAGGTCACTTCCTCTGTGAGAGCCTCAGTTTCCTATTCTGTAAAATAGGATGACAATCCTTATCTTGCAGGGCTGTGTGACGATCAGGTGTCTGGCACAACCGCAGGTGCTTGTCGAATGGCAATTAGCTCTTCCCTTCCGCTAGAGTGGAGAAGTGGGAATGGAACATAGCCGAGGAGCAGCGGCAGGCCGGAAGAGGCCTCCAGATATATGGACAATGAGGTGAAGGTTTACGGCTTCCAGAGCTGGCCCCTTCGCCGCTCCTGAACCGCCACATGGCCCTCGCTGGCGCCTGTTTGCCTGTCTCCCCAGCAATTCTGCGCCCAGGTCCAAAGACACCCTTTCACCCCGCTCCCCTCGTAGCCAAAACGAGGTGAGTCTCTCTTTTCCAGGCCCTAGAACCCGCTCTCGGCGATGGAGCCTGCCCTCACCTGTGAGGCTGACACCGGGTCTCAATGTCAGCAGCGCCCCTGGGCCTCGAGCTCCCAGGGAGGGCGCGAAGGCGGTGACGCTCAGCTTGCGGCCCAGGAACGTCCCCACTGCACCCTCCCTGGGCGGCCGGGCTCCTCTCCCCGCGGCGGCCGGCAGCCGAGGGGTCCCCACAGCCACCAGCAACCAACGCGAGGTGCACCGCACCGCCATCTTGGCCCGGGGACACTGCGCCTGCGCCACCCGGCTCAAGAAGGCCTCTCGTGGACGACGCTCGCGCGTAGCGACGCCTCTTCCGGGGGGCGTTGCGCGCGCACGCAGAGACGCAAGCGTTGCCCACGGTCAGCTGTACTGTGAATTTTTCTGGTACCCAACAGAGAGAGAGAGAGGGGGAAGTGAGGTTCGCTCTGCAGTGCTTGCCTTGAAAGTAAGCTTGCCTTGCCGTTCTGGGCTGAATGATCAGATACTGCACCTTATCTGTGGAAGGATGTGGCTGAGTTTAGCTGCATGGAACGGCCTGAGGCTCCCGACAATGGGGACGGGACTACAAGTTCCGGAATGCAGTGCAGAGTCACGTGCATATCCCAGCAAGCGGTGCGCGGTTTCCCTCGCCTTGACCCTGACTTACACACTGTTGCGTGAGTATTACTCATGCTGCCTCTGCTCAAGCTACACGAATCACTGCTAACTCCCAAAGCCTGGTCTCAAGTTCACTTTCTCTCAGGCACATTCTACCATGAACATGACTTTGATCGCTCGGCTGTCTCCTTAGCGAGTTAGGTTTCTCCAAACCTGTAGTGAACTTGCACGAAATGAGAGCTGAGTTGCCCAAAAAATGAATTTGGTGAACGGTGTGAGCACCTGCTGTACGTCATGCACGTTCTAGGATATTGGGGATACAAAGATGAATGGCGTACCATCCCTGATCTGGAGGAGCAAACAATGACAATCTAGAGAGAAAGTTAGAGCAATGTGAGATCACAGGCACACGACGAGGGGTGCATTCTGTTTGGGGGGCAAGGGGTGTCAGAGAAAGCTGCTGAGAGGTAATATTCCAATTCGGCTTTGATAAGAAGGGCATCAGGTAGGGGTGAAGGGGAAGAGTATTCCAAGTAGCGAGAACCTCAAATGCAAATGTTCAGAGACACAGATGTGCTTGCTCTGTTGGCTTAAGCCCTAAACTTAGGGTTGGACAGAAAGCTAGAAAGGTAGACCCGGCCTGGTTGGAAGGCGCTCTGGAAGCTTGCAAAGGAGTTTCGACTTTTCACATTCCCATCATCAGTAATAGGAAGGGAACCTTGAGTTCTTGAACTGACAGCTCAAGGACGGTTTAAGATCTGTGCTTTTCCACCTTTCAATATGGAGGATTTTTACTGTTAATGACTGTGTAGAAATAAAATTGGGGATAAACTAAAATACCGAAAACTGAGGAAGTTAGAAAGCCAACAAAGGTTTCACACCAGGGAGCCTTCCTCTAGGAGGGCCTTACCCTGAGGTGGCAAATGAAAGTCCCTTCAGCTCTTGTCCTAAGCTTTTTATTCCTGCAAGTTGTACTTCCCTACCAGTCCCCCTTCCCTAGGTGCCCTGCCTTCCCTAGGTATTGGATTCTCTGTGGGCCAGCAGTGGTGTTTAACTTCTTGTTCTTGGTATTCTCAGTGCTTACCACAGAGCCCTACTAGTGCGCCAAGTACTGGAAGAGGCCCTTACATGGATTGTCTTATTTACTCTCCTTTGAAGGAGTTACTATATGACCCTGTATTAAAAAAAAAAAAGAAACTCACTGCTGCCCAGTGGGGTCCGACTCATAGCAACCCCTCCTTGGGTTTCTGAGGCAGTATCGCTACGGAAGTAGATTGCCCAGCCTTCCGTCTGAGGAGTGGCTGGTGGATTTGAACCACCACCCTTCTGGTTAGTAGTCAAATGCCTTAGGCACAGGGAGATGAAGTAAATTGCCCATGGACACACAATTAGTAAGTGGCATAACTGGGATTCAAACCCTGATAATCTGGCCCCAGAGCCCAGACTCGCAACCACTATGCTAGAGGCATTGGAATCTTTGTTGAATATATTAACAAAGATGTCCCCACTCCATGACATCCTCGTCCTTCTCTAAAATAGCCCTCGATCACCTCAGTCCTCTCCATTCTGTAGCCAAAGCTCTCTTCCCTGTCCCTTGTCTGATCCCGTTGTTCGTGAGGCCACCATGAGTTGGGGGCCAACTCCACAGCACCAAACAACGGCAATTTCACTGGGCCCTTTGCAGATCTGAGCTGGCAAGATTTGCGAAAGCCAGTGGAGTGTTAAGATCTTCCAGGATGCCTTGCTGAAAGCCAAGGGAGACAAAAGGGTATACTCCATGCTCTCCCCTGGCATTCACCAGTGGAGGTGGAATGGGATTGACCAAGTCCATGGCTGCCTGATGGCTGCCATTGTCCCCATGGGAGTTATGTGAGTCAGGGGCCCTCCTAGGCAAGCAGAAGTGTTCAGAGGTGAGAAAAGCTGGCTCAAGATTTCTCTTTCCTCCCCAAGGGATTGTGGGACGATCCCAAGGGGGTGTGGAATGAGTGATCAGACATTCCTGGATCTTCCATCTACAGCAGGTGCCGTTCCCTGTGGATGGAGACTGCTGCTTTGTCTCCATCACCTGGGCATTCTCCAGCGGGACCACCATTCCACTGACTTTCTCAAAGGCCCTTCGGGAAACTATCGTAGGGGACTTCACTTGCAGCTGAATACTCTTATGCCCAAACCAGGCTTCAACTTAAGTAATGTTTTGCAACTTCAGAAATTAAAGGCATTCTTTTACTTAGCATCTTTTTTTTTTTTTTAATTTTATTTTGATTTGGGTGAAGATTTACAGAGTAAATTCACTTTTCATACAGCAGTTCATATATACTTTGTCTCATGTCATTGACCAAAATTTACAATGCAACAGCTCCCCTCCCACTTCCTCCCCATAGTTACCTCTTCCCAGTGTCCATCCCTCCATACTCTTCTGCACCCTGAGCTATCTCCCTGTGCATAAGCAGCCCTTCCTTCTCCCATGATTGTTCTCTCCAGGGCGTGTGTCTACTTGAGGTAAATGTTTAACTCACATGTAAAGGCACTCTTTTAAAGGGAAAAAAAAAAAATGATCACAGACATGGAGAATAAGGCTGTGGGTCTCCTGACAACCAGTAGACTCCAGGGTGAAAAACATCAACTTAGGAAAATTAAGTCTTATTTGATGAAAGTGCCTTTAGTTGTGAATGATTATCATAGAAGTTAAAGTTGGTAAAATACCGTATGTGATTCTGAAAAAAAAAAAAAAGTCAAAATAAAATGACTCTATGAAGTATACAGCCTCAGATCCCCGAGAACACATGGATCCACTTCCCTTTGAGAAACAACAAAATAATAATTGCAAGGTGCTCTGATCGAGCCTGGTGAAACCCCTGAGACTATGGCCCCTAGTTCCCCTTCAGGTCTGGCGCTGAACTCGCTCCTGTGGCTTCCAGCAAATTGATAGACAGGCATATGGGCTGAACATTTACATCAGGTAGATATACCCCTTGGAGTGATCAATCATGGGAGATCAGAAGGGCTGTGTTTGCATAGGGGAGGGGGAATGCATAAGGAGGAGTGTATAGGAGGGAAGGACACAGGGAAGTGGGAAGAGAGGTGTTCCATTGTGGGGAATTGCAATCAGTCTCATGAAACAAAATGTATATGAACTGCTGTATGGAAAATGAATTTGCTCTGTAAACTTTCACCCAAATACAATAACAGTTTTTAAAAATAATAATAATTGCAAGGTGCATTGTCAGGCTGGGGAGGAATAATGAGTGTTTTGCCCAACACGGAAATGTGTCTCGTGTGATTGTTCATTTCCTGTGCCCAGATGACTACCGTGCCTTTCTGCACCAGCACCTGCAGTGGAGCAGAGCAGGGCTTATGTATAAACATGCTTCCAGTGTGCATTTTAATAAGTAGTTGGTTCAGGGACAGATCATTAAATCTAAGAAATTTGTTGTTGGGTTGAAGCCAGTCTCATCCTTTCCTTTTTCACAAAAAGGTTAAGGGGCCATCGTGTTGGAAACCTCCTTCCCTTGGCATCCCTTTGAAATTCAAATGCCTCTCTGGTAGTGTAGTGCCTAAGGCACTTGACTGCTAACCAGAAGTCTGGCAGTTCAAACCCACCAGCCACTCCTCAGAAGGAAGATGGGGCAGTCTACTTCTGTAGTGATACTGCCTTGGAAACCCAAGGAGCGGTCGCTATGAGTCGGGTCCAACTCGACGGCACGTTAACAACAACAACATGATCTCTTTAAGCCTTTTGTGCATTTTTTTTGTTTGTTTTTTGTGTGTCTGTTCCTCCCCCTCCCACCATCTCTTTCGCCTGGTCCCTTTCTTTGTGCTGATGGCCTGTCCGTTGAAGGAAGGATCTTGAATTTTCTAGAATGAGGTCTTCACTACAATAGACTGCCCAAGCATGACCTGATTTTCACACAAATATTCACAAGCATTTCTTTGCCAACCTGCCCTCCACCCCACGAAGTATCTTCATAAGTACCTATGCTAATTTTTTACAAAAACATGTACAAAAAAAGGAATGGTATACTGCATTTACAAAAATACACCTGGGAGGGAGGGCGGGTTGACAAAGAAATGTGGCAGCCATGTGTGTTATTTGTGTAAAAATACCTTGAAAACAGAACCTGTGAACTGCAAATCATCATGCCAGTCATCCCTTTTTGCTGCGCTTCGCCCTGCCTTTTGACAGCAAAGGAACCCTGGTGGCACAGTGGTTAAAGCACTTGGCTGCTAAACGAAGGTTGGCAGTTTGAGTTCCTCAGCTGCTCTGCAGGAAAGAGATGAGGCAATCTGCTCCTGTAAAGATTTATAGCCTTGGATGCCCTAAGGGGCAGTTCTACTCTGTCCTACAGGGTCACTATGAGTCTCTATTGACTCAGTGGCAGTGGGTTTGGCTTTGGTTTGGTTTGACAGCCTCTTAGGGTAAAGAGGTGGCTTCCAGTGTAGCTATAGACACACAGTGATGCTGTCTGCGTGACGAGAAGCGTAAAGAAACAAAGCTGGACCGTCTTCAGCATCACTGAACTGGGCACACAGACGTTGTTGAATCAGTGTGTGTTCTGCTGTGGCTATTCTCAACAACAAAAAATAAAATATCAAAGGGAAAAAAAAAAGCAAGCGGGTAGTTCATAGAGTCACGGGACTGGGAGGACTCTGAGAGGCCCTCCAGTCCAGCTCTGCAAGTCACAAAGGCATCAATTCTGCTCAAGT